ACCAACTTCTTCACGGAAAGCACCATTGAAGAAGACCACCTCAACTCCAGTCACCCAGACTAAAACAAAGACTGCTATACCAACAACAGGTCGCCCCAAGAGACCAAGCCTGGGTATAAGTGCCAAAACAAAGTCTACTTCTAACACAAGCCTCAATTCTGCAAACAGTGCCTCTACAAATAAGAGTGAAAGTGCCAAGCCACCCCGTGCTTCTACACCTTCCCAGGGTCTCAAAAAAGAAAAGGACACTGTCTTTTCACGCCTGAACAGCATGCGTCGTAAAGGTCCACCCAAAATTCCAGATGGCCACTCTGAAACAGTCACACATGCTCCGAAAGATATTCCAGAGGTCCATGGTTCTCCTAGGCACACAACAGAGGTGAAGCAGTCACCAAGGCACGCAGCTGAAGCCAAGTCATCCCCCAGACACCCTGCAGTTTCCCACGAGTCCAAAACTGGCAAGATGCACCCGAGAGTTGCCTCACCACAGCCACAGTATGACGGGGGCTCACAGAAAACCACTCCAAGGTCCATTACCCCCGAGCCTAGTGGCGGAAGCCAGGCCGATGTTTTTTCAAGACTCACCGCACCATACAGCAGCCTCCGCAGGAAGACAGCATCTCCAGTCACCACAACTAACAGCACAGAATTCGATGTAGGTGAGAGCCCACTTCGAAGAATGGGGAGTGTGCGAAGAAGCAAGGGCATTCCAACGATCACTAAGACAGGACCACATCAGGAAGAATCGACAAGTTCTGTTGTTATGAGACCCAAAAAAGCAGGAGTGACTGATGCTTCCAAACGGCGAAGTATCAGTACTGCCAATCCTATTGCAGATTCAGAAAAACATGATCTGGAGATGTCTGGTCTCTCTACGGTAAATGAAAACGATCTGCCTGATAAATCCCCATCATTTTTACAAAAGTTGATGGGAAAACCAAAAGATAAGTCACCATTCCGTAAGTCGGCTCTCAATAAAGGGGACCCTCATATAAAAGCAGCTGACAGAAAAAAGGCAGGTGTATGGAAATAATAATAACTGCATTTTGTTTAACTTCCACTTACTATTTATGTATGGTTTGTTATTAACCTTTGTTTTACTTGTTTGATAGAAAATAGAGTAGCACAATTTGTCAAAATATTGTTAATTCCAAGTAGTTAATTTAAATGTGCTGCTTGACTTATCACATTTTGGTAGTTTCTCTTCCATGATGAAATACAGGAGTTGATATTTTCCTCACCAGTCATAATATATTTTATGTCATGAGAAATATTGACCAGTCTTCCAGGGGTTCATCAGCTCATCACTGATTGATTCTTAAACATATATAGAATTGTTAACATTTTCCTCATATATTTCAGTTTAAATATTATATCTGTGCAAAAGCAACTTTTTGATATGCCTAAAATCGATGCCAGTTGGAGAGTGAGGAAAAAGTTTTAATGTTATGAGATTATCAAGTTTGTATATTTTTGTCTTGTGTAACTTGTGGTCATTGTTAAAGAAAAATTACTTAGTTAGATTTGTGTATATAAATGCATCTTAAGTACTCTGACAAATATGAATTAATTTTTTATAAAAGGTTTTGAAATCAAGGTGATGTTTTATCAGTAAATACATCTGATTTTACCTTTGATTTGAACAGGTAAGGACTTTAAACTCAGTTAAGCAACTGTTTAAATTTTGTTATTTATTAGGCATAAATATCTGCTTTTCAGTTAATCAGCTAGATGATATTTTAAATTGCATTACTACAGAATGTTATTCGTAAACCATTATTTCAAAGTAAGATAAGAATTTAGACGATGGTTGTTTTGACGTCTTTGTTGACAAATGTGCATCCTTTTCTAATGTCAACATTGCTTGAAAAGAGAAAAAATGTGAAAATTGTTTGACCGAGTGCATATAAATATATTTATGCACTTCTGAGTAAAACAAGAACATAGTTTTCAATCAAATTAGCAGACAGGTTTAAGTTTTAATTAATAAATATGTATGCAATTGAAAGTATACTCAGATGATCAGTTAAGATTATAGATTATAGAATTTTAAATGTTGAATGTGAACTGTTTCTATAACATCTTTTTCGTTTCAAGTTTTGTCAATGGATTTTAGTGCAAATTGTGTTTTAGGGTGAGCAGGTCTCAAACTTCTGTAGTAATATAGACCCATACCCCAGAGGGATATGAAATTAAATGAAATTATAACATTTAACCCTTCAGGATTCAATAGTCCCCCAGCATTTTATTGGTCCAGGAGTTCATAATAACAAACTACTTGCAGCTAGTTCACATATTAACTGATAATTATGTTAGTGTGGATTTCATGATTTTCAAATAATCATATGTAATTGAAGTTTTCAGTATTCATTTAAGTGAACTTAAAAGTTCAACAGATGTAACCCTATAACAATTGGCTGTTTAAAGAATAGGTGGGGTTGCAATAGACATCATTATATGCAAAATTGTCTGGCAGTCAGCATATTTTCTTTTTTTTTAATTCAGGGGGACAGCAGTCAAAAGATCTAATATATTTCTAGGCATAAATAATTGCATAATTAGTTATGAAATATCTTCTTTTGTATGATAACTTTTGCTGTAAATGGTGTTATTCTGAGTAACAAGCAGCAAAGGTTAAATGCCATGTTAATTTTTCAAGTTAAGCAGCCTCAAATATCAAGTAAGTTTCTCCTCTTCGACACAATTCAGTATTATTTCAAGGTGAGGTGTTGAAAGCAAGGAGCTTACTTCAAAGCATGATATATTTTACTTAATTCTGTTCAATATTTGTTGCTTAAGGGTTCAAAAGTTTGCCAATAATAAACCATGTTGGTAAAAAAATCTTGGTTGTAGGTTGTCCTGCAACAAGATTCATGCACCACCTAGAGTCTGGATGACTAATGTACCCACAGGGTGCATTTTTCAAATCATTGTCATTGTCTAAACCGTTTCTGTCATCATAATGTTTATCATCTTCATCTCTGTGTCAGTGTTTAATATCATATGCAAAGCTCATGGAATAGGTTTACATATATTATATCAGAATTATACATCTGTATATGCAATATGTTATTTAATATGCAAATAAATTTAAACGTAAATGTACAGGTTTCTTATTTTTGTCTTTTGCCAATGCAGATTTCATGCACATTACAGCCACGAGATTGGGTACATTGACAGAAAACTTATGAAATGGTTCTTGATAATACTATTTAAGAATACCAAAAGTCGTGCTTTTCTGAATGTGTTCCTCTCTGCAACATCCACCACCAGTCAATTATTTTGACCATTATTGCACACATTCTGGTGTATTTCTATACTTACACAGATACCAACCAAAATTACACACTATTTCAACTTCCTTTACATTAATGTAAAAATAGGGTCTGCACTTCTGTACTCTCTTAATAATATCAATTCATCTTAACATGAATTTTCTGACAACACTTTATGATTCAATACAAATCACACAACAAAAATTCTGCTGTTATCCAAATTTTATTTACAAAACTGCCAGCATTTTGATATATTAACATTCAAAAGTCTTATTATTCACAACAACTACCATAACTCAATATTTGGAGGAAAAAAGTAGTTTTGAAAATACAGATTTCTGTAAGAAGAATCTTCAATGCTATTTGAAGTATTTATCTAATGGAATGAAGATACAGAATATCGATAAACACATAATACAATATTGTGGTCAGCATGAAAATGTTAGTAACTAATGGGACTGAAATAACAACAAATACAAAGTAACCCATTTCTTAATAAACTGAAAAACAAAAGGAAATATTCTTATATTAGACACATAACATGTAAATAGCAGTAGAATCTATATCTTTGTCAGTGAGAATTACATTGGAGCATACTTATTCAACAGATATCGTCAAATGGATAACAAGGTGCACACAGCAATTTTTTAAGTGCATTCCTATGTAAATATTGAAAGGAAAATAATGGCCAGTGCGTAAGTACAGTACAGCTGGGTTTTATGGAATGAACAATATGGAAACTACATTCAGACTTCATGGAATGAGATATGTTGGTTAAAAAACTACTCCATCTAACAGAGGCCGTGACTTAACTTCACTAGCAGTTCTCACTTGAGGTAAATACAGCTGTCTTGAAGTACACACATATCCAACCTTCCAAGAAATATTTCACAACTTTCCTTCTGAACAAGCTATAAATCTTAATTGCAATGAGGTTTCAAGTAGTCATCATTAGTTTTGGTTACAGCAAGAACGCAGCAGCAAGCACTTGATATATATCTGAGAGTTAATATATTACAAAACAAGATTTTCTTTACTTGGTGAGTGTTACACTGGTGAGTGTCAAAAAGAACTTCTGTTTTACTAAATGGTAACAAAACACGTGAAAAACAAAACTCAAAGTAAACAATTAGTTAACATTGCACTTTTGTTTTGTTCAAATTGAATACTGTACAAGTAATTGTGTACAAAACATGCATAAATGAATATGCCTGACTAAAATTAGAAATTTTGTGAATTTGTCTGTGGTCAACTTGGGATACACTGTTTCCCATTGTCAGAGCTACTAGCATGTCCCACCAGATTTCAATAATTGGCATGGCAGAAATGGTAGCTAGTTGAGGGATTAGCTAAGTGTTACTCATAAACTCGGGGAGTTTTACTGAAAAGCCCCAATAATAATATCACAAGGGTCCATATCAATTCTTAGACTTTAATAGTTCCATCTTTTCTCAAATAAATGTGTCTAACCACCTTGCTTAAATGCCCAAATATGCACTCAAATCTTTTTCACATCCATCCAGACTTTTCTCACTATAAATAATTTCAATGAAATAAGACATCACTGCAAAGCTTTTGCCGTGGAATCTGTTTATAGCAAGCATTGCTACAAACAGGATTTTCAATGAACTACACAATCTGTCAGTCATATTTAACTTGGTGGGCCCATGGTTTTTTATTCAAAATTTTCAAACTGGATTCAAATGTTCATTTTTTTTTTTTTATTAAGATATTGTAAATCATTCATAAGACATGTCTGTCTTGTATTCAAGTTCAACAGAAGAATAATGCATAGTGTTTTAGTCCCATATTATATATATATATATTAACAGACAATGAGTTTCAATTTTCATGAGTCCTATGTGTATTCCATTCTTCCAAGAGACTGAGACTCTGGCTCTTCTTGGCCCTCTACCACAAAGCAGTTGACTTGCCACCTGGTGGATGATGTACTTTAGTGGATGGCTGAAATAAAAATAATATAACATAACGAAGGATATCAATATAACAATGCATCAGATTTGAAAGTTATCTTCTCCAAAGACCTTATTTTCCACAAATATACTCTTATTTCCCACAAATATACTATGTTCAGAATTTGCTCCAAATGAATAACTTATTTCATCCTACATTTACAGTGTGTACAATTTTAAGCAAACATAAGATTTCATCACTATAAAAAAAGTTGTAACAAAGTAGTCCATGAATCAAAAACATAATTCTATGCAAGGAGAATGCATTGTCTATAAGTGCACATTGGGAAAATGCCTCATGATCCTACCCTCTCCGTTGTCTGTGGAGCCCCAATGACCATTCCAGTGATAGGATTGATTCCTGAAATATTCAAAGAGTAAAATATTAGTTTGTCAAGTCAGTCTAGCATACAATACATGCAACTCAAGTAACCACTGAAACCTGTTACCAGTGAAATCAACAGTGTCTTCCAAAATACTGTCTGCTTTTCTTTTTTTTTAACATAAAGATCAGCTGCACAGGTATCTTGTACAACTCAAACAAGTCAATGATTTCACTACAGCACTAGGCTTATACCAGAACCAATGTACAAGTACTAAACTGTCCAAACATCTATCCCAAAACCAAGAGTTATGAGAAAGTGTGACTGCCTCTGCAGCATGTGACACTTTCCCCGATGATGTTTCTACGTAACCTCTACCACCTACTACTGTCCATGCTAAGATTATGGGGAAGGGGGGGGACGGAAAGTTCTACATTGAATTCTCCATATATGATGCAGATCCTTGAGGGCTTGGCTCATCATTTCCTTAACCAACCAAATATGTAAACCCATTTTAAGACAAATGTGTGTAAACAATCAACGGTGAATCTTGGTTTAAAAATTTACAAATGTAATGATAATTTTCTTCATTTAAATTGTGTAAATATGACTGTTACATTTGAAAGTCAATACTCATTTGTGGGTTGTGCCCAAACCCCCAACTTTGCATTTCATCTTAGTAAGGGCATGTTGGTCAGTCTTTAGTGGAGGGTTGAACTGGTTTTATATAAAACACTAAAAATGAAAGCTCGCAGTAAATTTGCAACTAAGTGATGTCTTCTGAAATACAAATAAAGTATAAACAAAGAGTTAATTTCACCACTTCAGAAAGCAAGTGAAAGAAAAGAATGTTTCAATAACCTGGAAAATGCTTTATGAACATTGAAATGAATTCTATGAATAACAAATTATTGCATGCAAATATTTTTCCTGAATTTTGCTTTGATGCATCCCAGTCTGATAATAGAGTAATGTGACTTAAACTGAACATTTCCTAAAACAACAGAACATTAAAACCATGGGTAGAATATAAACATTATGACTCATAATCAAATGGCCTTGACCACAAGTTTCCAAGAACTCCAGAAACTTCACAAAGTTTAAGGCATCCTTGGTTAACTGTTCAACAGAAAATTTGGTACAAACTTTTACAGAAATGTTAAATCAGAGCAATTAGATGACAGAAACACATCAATCCCACACACACAGAGTTAACAAATGGAAACTGTGACTGTAGTGATCTCTTTTTGTTTTTCAAAGCTTGAAATGCTTGGGTATGTATCAGGGAATCTGAGACTAAAATAATGTCCTTTAAAATAGGTTACACGGATCATTTACCTACGTTTCGCAAAATAAAAGGAAATTCAAAGCACTACGAGGATATCACAACTGTCTTTCTACACTGTTACACTAAAGAGCGTTCCTATTTTCTATACTACTTGATATTACTTTACCTTCTTCTGTTCCGACATGAGGTGAAGGAAAAAAAGAGAAAGAATGTGGCAGTGAGTACAAAAAAACTCCACTCACTGTGGATATAATCATGGTTGTAGTTTATTTGATTTGTCTGAGGACCCCCAAACATGAATACATAATTAAAGTCTACTCAAGAGCCAACCAATATTTAAACATGTAGCAAATAGAATTTGTAGTCAACAATTAATGTTCTTAATCCATCCACAGAGCAGTAACTACATTTTAACACATAAATGGTATCAATCTAAAAAGAAAAAAAAAAGAAAAAAAAATTCACGGTGAAATTCAATATTAAAAGCAGATGAAGCCTTATACCATGAGAAACATTTCTTAAAACCGTGCACAGGTGAAAGAAAGAGTATTACGAATATGCTTAATAGCAGCATGTCATCACCCAGAAAATGGCTTCACAATTTAGCTTACTAAGTAGACATAACATCATAGTAAATCACACAGAAAATGTTAATCTTATGGTAACTTCAAGAGGCACAATTTTTTTAAAAATATTTTATTACAAATATTCTTTTTATATTTCTTAGCTAGTTAATCCTGCCAGGCAGTAGAGTCAAAAAATGTAAGCTATGCAAAACAAAAATTCCTGATCCACTNGCAAAACAAAAATTCCTGATCCACTATGTATCTCAAAGCAAGCATAAAAATTTCAAGTACCCCTAAACAATTAGTGATGTTTCTTAAAATTTGAGTTATAGAGCCACTATGAAGGCTACACACAAATGCCTCTAGAGTACCAATTAGATCTATTAAGTTTCTACAAAAATTTATTTGTGCTTCTAGAGTGCCTATGATAACAACTGGCAAGAGCACAACAGTGAAGAAGACACCATGCCATTCTCATACAACATTCTTAATACACATACACACAGTCAACATTCAAACAAGATCTGATGCCATCAAAGTATCATTATAAGATGGCCATTTTTTTTATCATTATTATCATCTTCACAAGTTTTTAACCTTGGGGGGGAGGGGGAGAAAGCAAGATGATGCCCTCTGTACGCTTTCGAAAAAATAACAAAAATGATGAAATTGCCATCAAGGTCATCATTTTTAGGTTTTCACCTTGTACTCTCTGAAGGGGGGGGGGGGTCTGGAAAAAGTCTGCTCTATGTAGACTTGTGAAAGTTGTGATAAAAATGGATGGCCCCTAAGGACAAATTAGGCATATCTGTAACTGTCAACACATAAATACACATACTTGTACACAAAGATTCATTTCTGAAAACCAACAACATTCTTCATGTACACGACTGATTAAGGCCAATTTTAACCCATTTAATAACCATAATTCTATAAAAGTTTCTAACAAATTAATGTCTTTTAATCTGATAAAGATAAAAAAAATTCTTCATGTTTCAGTTGGCTCCCTTTCACAGGGGTCCCAACACACTAAGGAAAATGGTAAGCAGATGTCATCTTCAATGATTGTTAAAACCCCCATCACCCAAGGATATGTAAACTGTATAGCATGTATTCTCTCTCAATCTCTCTCTCTCTCTGAAGAAGCACACCAGGAACACTTCCCAAGTTTCAAGTAACAACAAAGACACAACAGCAATGACAGCAGCAACAATTACATATTTAGCTCCAGCAGTAACATATAGGTGGTAGTAGCACGAGCTAAAAGCAAAAAAGTACAAACAAGAACAGTGAAATCACAACGATTAGTGCTTCAAGTCAACAACATCCAGTTCAAACAATACCTCCTCTCTTTGTGTCTGTAAAACGTTTGCGACCCCTGATGGGAGAATCAAATTCATCGTTCTCGTGTCCAGCATTGGCAATGTTGTTTATGATGTTATAACCAGTCACTGCAGAATGAAGGAAATACATGGACATGCAGAGAATCACCATTCCAATATGTTATAAGAACACTTTCAGGGAAGGGCAGAGTTTAACTGTCCATAAAGAAAGTAATGCAGTAAATGGGAAGAATCTGAAGTCATGCAATGCATTTTACAATTAGAACCAGAGATAACTGGGACAATACATTATATATATATTTAGTGTAAATGGTTGTGATGCATGTTAGTCAAGAGAAAACTACTAGAAAGAAAGATGGGGAATGGAGGTTACTTTGTTATACATGTACCTTTAATGATAAAGTCCTTCGGGTAATAAGTTTTTTTTTCTTTCTTTTTTCGAATTCTATGTTCAAAAACTTGTCACAGTCAGCATTTTTATCTTGGTCAAGCTGACTACACCTACCTGTGACAACATATAATAATCTTCCAACAGAGCTTATACCCAACACTTTTAAAAGCGTGCTGTGCTTTTCTATAACACACCATGATGGTAAAATTGCAGAAGGCATATGATCTGTTTTTTGCCTCTAACAGACAGATCCTGCAATAGCCAAATACTTAATCAACTTGAAGTGTCAAATAGTGAAGGTCATTTTCAAATTTCATGCCATGAAAGTAAAATGGCTTGGTTTCTTTTCTATTTTTTCAGCAACGCGTATCAAGTTGTTAGTTTTGTATGTTTGTTAGTCTGGGGGTGGGTTCCTCTAAAACCTATTCTGTTTCTACCACGACCATGTTTCCAGAATCTCTATAACTGCTATCAATTGCAAACACATTGAGACATCTTTGCAAAACAAAAAAATTTCAAAAATAGATAAATAAGTAAACAAATGACTATAGGAGTGCAGACAAAAGACACTGATACATATTAAAATTGAACAACACTCCTGTACAATGGCAACTTTTTAGCAAATCGGAGTTAACAGTCCATAGATTAGAAACTACTAAAACAGACAAATATACAAACTTTTCAATAATCTCAGTTAAAAAAAGCCTAGCTTGGAAAGGAGAAGGGGGAGGGGAGGGGGGGGGGGCAAACCTACCATGCTGGGGTCCCTTGACCCTTACAGGGGCCTCTACGGGAGGAGGGGCAGTTTTGGATGCCTCCTCAGCCTCCTCATCACTGTCGCCTTCTGGAACAACAACAACAACATAGAGCCTAGTACACAAGGAAGGCAACAGGCACAGCAAAAATTTAAGGAAGGATCGAACGGTATGGTAATTACTCACTAATTTTAAACACCTTACTAAACCCAATATTTTACTTTTTCAAAGGAGGTCATTTTCAGTTGCTTACAAAAATACATTTTTTTTTTCACAAAAACTTAACCCATCTGTCTAAATTTTCTTTTTCAATATTAAAAGAAATGTGTTTAGAATGAAAAATGATCATTAAAGTTTATATTTATTCAGTGAGTAATTACCTTGAGTTACGCATAATGCAAGGGAAAAGCATACATAAAATGCATATGTTGTGACTCAATGAAGCTATAAATTATCACAAAGAAAAACAGTAAAACTGATTGTAAAACAAAACATTGTACAGAACTACTACTGCAAAAACAGAGATTATGGTCTAAGGGGATCTTTTTGGGAGGCAAGCTGAAAAAAAGAAACTGGGACTCATTTAAATGTCACCAAGAACCACTGTGTTAGAAACTGTTCCAGGAAAGTACTGTGACAGAATCTCTGACACCCCATTCCAGACAAAACAGCTAAATTTTATCATATGTTACTGACTTCTGATAGTGATGCATACTTATCTTTTATTGCTTTGCAGGAAAATAAGCAGTTTTGAAAGAACTACTGAGAGGCATGGGACACATTTGCACGTTCACTGTCAAGTGCTGGGACAAGACATTCACTCTACTCAATGTTGAACTTCACAACATGCAGTAACAAAAGTGTTCAACAGACATATAATAACTTGATCGCAAAATTTCAGGTTTAAGAAGACAAAAAAATTTTTCACATACAGCAGAGACTATACTGCTGACAACAACAGCAACTCCTAAACCAAAAGATAAAAAACAACGGTCAGCAATTAATCTATGTGAAATAAATTTTCTTTAAAAATCTGCAGATGAACCCTGTGAAATTTTCTACGATCAAATGGCAGTATGTAATCTTAGTTTTAAGACATTTTAAGACATTCTGATTCAGCAGGCAAATTTTCATGGTATGAATTATTTTATACCTTGAAAATTATGATGTTAAGAAGCATAAAGAACAAAATCTTTATATATCTTTATATCAGTCCACTTACATTTAGATTAATAATAACACACACACCTCGAGGAACTCTTCATCAGTCAATAACATAATCCTCAGTCAAAAAGAAACAGAGAATAAAGAACTCGTAATAATTTTATCACATCACATGTTCAAGGGAAGTTTCTGTGCAGGCACCCTTCACATATTCTATTAATCCACTCTCCTTTTTTCTCCATTTACTGCCTTATCACTTCCAGCAGTGAAGCAGATCTGAAACCCATGTATACCAACACTAACTGAACAAATTCCTATCACCTGCCTGAAGCACCTGTATGTCTGGCAGGTGATAGGAATTGCCTGGCTGAATGGTGTCCTCTTGGACAAGAACAGAATATGTCACAGGGAAATAAACCTATTTGAATAAATTTACATTTTCCAACAATTTTCCAAAGTGTAAACGCTCTTTTACACAAAAAAGGGTGCTGGTACAACCTTCCAAAGGGAGGAGAATCCCCATCCCGAGTCACCCATTTACAACCACGCACATTCTGACTTATTGGCCCTATCTGCAAGTCTGATTATTTATGTGTGCGCGCGCATGCACGTATCAACCGCAAGTGTATATCAGCTAGCACCAACCTAGTTGGTAAATATTTCACATCGAGGTCCTTCTCAGGGCATTTCTTTCGGGGAGATTCTATACAATGTCCATTCAAAATATGAGCTCACCCTCTTTCCTCTGAGCAGTACTAGGTTTTTGGGCGTCACCGCCAGCACCAGACTGGTTTAAAACGTCGGACTTATTGTAGTCCTTGACAACCACTGTAGCAGGCTTATCATCCGCACACTGGTTGAAGATGTCAGACCTGTTATAGTTCTTCACTTTGCGGTTTGCATGCTCTTCTGGCTCAGGATTCAGTATGTTGCTGCTACCACCCCCTGGTGGACGAAGCACTCTGGAATGATAGAAATAAAAACAAGATCAAGAAAGGATAAAAAATCAATAATTGTTTTCATAATTTCAAAGTTATTACATACTACTTTGGGGGAGGAACCTATCTAAACCTTTCTCTAACAACCTACAAGCATCCATTAGCAGTAAAACTTTGGCATAAGAATTATCATCTCAGTAGGTTTCACAAGTTTTGGTCAGTTGAGACAAGTAATTACATAAATGTGACATAATGACAAATTTAAACATTTGGCAAGTCTGAATTGTTAACTACCACACTCTACGTGATTCAAACTCCATCATATTCATTTCTACAGTCTAAACACCAATCATTCACTAGGCACAAGTGAAACCTTATTTACCTTTCTTCACAAATTCATTTCAACTGGATGAAAAGAACTTCCCCATACACTAATAACACATCAGAGGATGTTTATATTATACTAGAATCTGAGGCAGCAGGCCCCATTCCCATAGACACCTTTGGTCTATAATATGGATCCACACAACTCTGCAGAGAATCTCACTGACTTCAATCAGCTTAACTCACTGACACACCACCTCCTGGCATTTAGTAGAATACAGAATAAAGCTGGTGATTACATGAGTATGTTGGAAACAAGAGGCATGTTATTCAGTAAAGCTGAGAGTCCCTGCTGAGTTGGGTTGATCCACATGGAGCGATGGTATCTGTGGGAATGGGGTCTTATTTAGTATTGATAGATGGGGCCAATCTATCCTATGAGTATTATGAATAATTTCTCCCAGTGGTTGAGCAGACCTTTACTTCTACTAAATGTATCACATAATCATGAATTAAAATTGATTCATTAAGAGATTAACAATGACAAGCAAAAAGGCAAATGCTCCCTGTTTAAGAGTCATTCAAACATGCAACATGGGCATGGATTTAACCACTATTCTGTGCTGTGGGTATAAAAAAAAAGCTACATGGGCTTCTACAAGCATGTTCAGTATCTGCCAGTGAATGCACATTGTTGATTTGGCTTTAAAAAAAATCCCCAATGATGTAATAAGTTGAATGATAAGTCACAATTGCCTTGTGCAATAACGCTAACTTCCACACATAGAATGACCTCAAATGTCCCAAATCCCCTAAAATGCAATTTAGATTTCTGGTGTGTTCTAACAATTTAGAAGTAATTTTGCTAGAATTTTAATTCAACTTTGGATACAGCAAAACTTCATCCACTATAAGCCTTGAAAAATGAAGGGATGACCTGCTAATGTATGTATCATCATTGATTTTAAACACACAGTACATCCAAACTGTGAAATAAGAGAAGCAGCAGCTACTAGCACCTGATAAAAGCTAAGAACCCGTAACAACCAATGAATGATGCAATGTTGGTTTTTACTGATCATACTGCACATGGTACCCTCGCATTGGAACCTGAGATCATACAAAGTGCTCCAGTTCTATCAAAATCAGAGTATTTTACAAGAAGATCTCTGCAATTGGAAGAAAAAAACTGATCCAGGTGCATATACATCAAGTCAGCTGGAGTTTTCCTGCCTGCAATCAGGATCAGCTCCCATCTCACTGACAGACAGACAAACACACTTATTGCATTATTTCACACATAGGTGCAACTGACATAACACAGCTATTAGGTTTATCACAAGTATTGCCTGTGCTTTTTCACCAACAGACACACACTGGGAAACAGAAACGGCTCCCATCTCACAGACAGACAGACAAACACACAGTCACTTATTGCATTACTTCACATATAGGGACAACTGATACAACACAGCAATTAGGTTCATTAGCAGAAAGTACTGTTTGCACTTGTTCATCACCAGACACACACACACCTGGCTTGGATTCTCTTGTATTTTTTCTTTACAAAAAAACATGCTAGTAAAGCACTCAGAGAGCACAGACCTCCACCAAGGCAGCAAAGTCTCCACCCCATGCCGTTTCACCCCTAAATTTTCATACTATAATGATTTAGTTTTTTTATTATTGATCATCCGGATCACCACCAAAAACTAATCATGTTCCTTGGCCCACTTCTGACAGTTCCAGAAAATTTCATCAAAATCAATCCATAACTTTTTCTGTAATGTTGCAAACAGACAGACAGACAGACAAACTAATGGATCCAAAAACATAACCTCCTTGGCGGAGGTAAAAAACGTCGCACAATATTAGCAGACAAAGTTCAAGTTTGAATTCTGGCAGATTTATGATTTTCAACAAAGATATATTACAGCAATTTAACTGTACAGTATGCAGACACTACATTTCCAGGTCACAGTAGTTCCATTAAAACCAATTGTCCTGATATAACAGACATTCCTAATCCCAAGTGGCCTTCATTAGTATATTCACTTCACATTCATATCAGTCCTGGATGTCTGTGCCATCTTATGCCATGCTCACCATGCAATGACTATATTTTTCTTGCTATCACCTCTATTTAATTTTTTTTTTTCAATTATTATAGATCTACATTAGAAGCTTGTAATTACAAACATGTGAGTTGTATACAACACAACCTACCTTACTGTCAGCTTACTGGTCTCAATATAATTTGCCATGACAACAGTGGGTTCCTTATTTTCCCCCAGCAGTACCAGTGACAATGCGCAGCAGTAACAACTAAGAGTTCAAAACAATAATTTCTTATAGATAACAACTAGAGAAAAAACCAAACAGCAGAAACCAAGAAAGAGTGACTGCCCTATTCCAAGTCCAAGTATCAATAGGAACGCATGGAGATATTCCTAGTGGAAAATCTTGAAATAAATCTGAACTCATGCCAGCCAAGTCTTAACTGCTGCATATACCAAGAGAGAGGAAAAGAGGTCAGGCCTGATTAATCAATTTAACATTTACAGTCATGACATCATCTGGAATGATAAAAGGCAAGTGTGTATAATCTGCAGGAATGTACAAATGAATGGCAAAACTTACGGAATCTTTGTTTGAGTGTCACATTAATTTTGATTAATGAATTAATTAATTTTCCATACAGAGCAAAAATGTGGTTGTATTTGTCTGCAAACAGAAGAGGCAAAAGAGGCTATTTCTTTCTTCACATTTTGTGGAAAATTTGCACAGCAGAAATAATGTAAGATCAGATCATCTCCTTGAATTATAACTGAGATTTACTGACAATACTTATTACATTTGTCATCTAGATATTTCATTAAAAGTACATAAGATCACATAAGCATATCATACGGATGGAAGCACAGACAGAGAGGTCATCTAAGAGCATAAAAAAATGGCCGCGTAAGGTCATACAAAATGAGGGCACTAACCAGTTGCTAAGTTCAGCCATGACAGTATCACTGACACTGAAATGGCAAATCATTCAACTAGCAACATTATCTAATAGATCTACACTTAAGCAATAAATTTAAATGGGAAAAATAATTATAGGAAAATGAAAATAACACATTTCACTTGCAATTACTATGTCAATATGTCAAAACCGCATATTCTTCCAGACTCCTGTGATGTAATGTTTTCTTTTTCAATTAACCTGTGCTTAACAGGAGTGTTATATGGCAATGCAGAACTACATGCTTCTGATGTACATGTCTCATTAATCCAATAAAACCATAAATAATTCATTCCCTGTTAGGTTTCATGGGTTGTGCAGTAGCAATCAATGAAATGTCCATCAAAGGAAATGGAAGAAAAGATTCACAGAGGTGCAATCCAATAAAAGTGTCTCCATAGGAAAATAACTCCTGCTTATAGAAGAGAATATGAATTCAGATAACGGACTGCATAATGAAATGTTAGGGGCTGTTAAACTCACAAATAATATGTAACTAGAGCAACATCATTTGTAATAAAACAACTCAAGTACATAGCCTAGTAGGGAAAAAAAGATATTAAAACTAAGTGACAACTAACAACAAATTGTTCACCTATCATAAAAATTCTAGATAACTAGGTAACTAGATTTACAAGGGCTATTTCAGAAATTTTATGCTCTGTACCAGAGTGGACTAGCCTGGAGCCCCGGATGTACTAGATGAATCATCCGACAAAACCAAAACTGACATCAGATAGTAAGTGATATTGCCACAGATAATAAAGAGGTATGTAGTCACACCTTCAGACAGGATATACATGTACATTGTCACAAAAGATATATTGTTCATCAGATTTGGAGTGGCTTTGAGGTTCAGTCAAGTTGTTACTTGTTACATACCTGGACATCTGTATTTGTTGATATATATATGAACAATTTTTCTGCACAGTTTAAAAGTGTCCCAAAGCCACCTTTTATGCCTAAATATCCTGTCTCCAAACCTATTCATATTTCCCAATTCCCACTTTAAAAATGATTGAAATATTGGAAGCCAATTTTTCTTACATGGCAGTCTAAACAAAACATGATTTGTATGGACCCAATGTAATTTGAAATGGTACAAATCATTGAACCTTAGTGCATAGATGTTTTGAGCAATGATTCTGGAGTATGAGAAAATTGATTTTTCTTGAGGAAAATTAGATTTCACGCAAAAAATCCCATGTAAGTTTAAAAGTAGCTGTCTGTCATCAAATCTATCAATCTGAGTGCAAGTCATGGGCACTTTATGGGGTTGACACTCAAGATATGTACAAAGGTGAGGTCAGTGAAGGGAGATTAGAGCTATATATGTTCTAGAATAAAAACAAAAAAGAGTTTGGATGGGGAGGGCAATTACCGAGTTTTCATTTTCAATCATCACCCACAGTGTCACTATGAAGAAAGACATTGATACCTTTCATGTAAAAATATCTGTGGCTGAGTCTGCAAGATGTTATAAAACAAAATCAAGTAATTTACAACTGCAAACAAGAAATGTCAAAATGCTGTTTACTCCTGCTTCCAGCATGTACCTTAACTATCTACTTTAGCCAATGGGCTACTTCCACTTGTTAAGTCAGAAAACTACTGGTAAGAAGATGAAGTCTGTACATAAATGAAAGCAATCTAAAACAATTTGACAATTTTTTTAAAAATCCACAAAACTACTCAGACCAGCAACTTTGAAAACCCCCTGTTCCTTTATCAGTTTTATGCATTTAATTTACACTAGATTTTCAATTTCAAAATTGCATAGTTACTGTGAATGACAGTGTTTACTACGTAAGTGTTGGCACGAACCAGGAAGGCTGTATGATATGAATGTTAGACCCAGCAATGTCCAAGGTCCAATATGATTCATACAGGTTAGTGATAGCCTGGGGACATGTATCCAGGGTAAATATATATATAAGGTGATTAGAGAGTTTCCGTTGCCGGTGAGATACGCTGGCTAGATTAATACGTCATCGGTTTGTGCGCACTTGTGACGTTCACCGCATTCATATACCGTCATCCCATCTAGTCTGCGGAATACAAGCGCTCCTATCTAGCCAGTGTGGAAGATTATTGAAAATAGTTATTAAAGGTTTTGTTTGCTAATTTATATGACTTATATACTTTTTTACAATAGTTCAAGTGTACGTTCATGCAAATTTCGACTTTTTAACAGAGAGGAGCCGCTAGTTTTGGTTTATCAGGCACGTAGTCGGGGGTTGATCGTGGGGTTCTTACGAACCGCCATTTTTGTCGGGAAAAA